TTGAGAAGACAATTTATCCTTATCCATTTATCTATGAATAAATGAAACAAGGGTTGTTTTATTGCAACAAAATTATCCCAGTGGGTCTGTTTCTCTGACCAACCAACCAACCAACCAACTAACTAGCTAACTAACAATTCTCAAGAATAGAATTAATTTCCGATAATATTTTCTTTTTACTTCGTAATTTAACATAATAATCAAAACATTCCTTTAGCATAGTAATTGCTTTTTAGATTCTATCAAGGATTTGTTGCTATACTGTGTAAAATATTCATCTCATAATCGAAATTCAGTTTTTTTAGAATATCCAGTCTGACTATTTAATATTAAGCACATATACATATATGTGTAAACGCGTTGAGCAGAAAATATTGAACACATTGAACATACTTTTTGGGTAAATCGTAGTCTTCTTGAGTTTTAAGGAAGAACTAGGAAAGACTTTCATGCAAAAGTTTATTTCGCAAGAAAGCGAATTTTTATGAACATCTAGGTGCAAGAGTTCACGTGAATCAGCCTATCGATTTCTTCAAATATGAATACCGTATGAGTTGTCATGTATCACTGGTTCAGTGGTAGATTAATTGGCTACTAGTCAATAGACCCACGGTTCGATCCCCACCCAACTTACTCCCAGACCACACTTAATTGGAAGTAAGGCTGGTTACACTGTAAAAAGAAACTTCAAAGTTCAAGTTTCAAGCTCTATGTTCCACTTGGAGTGCAAAGGAATAGAATAAAAATATGATTTATTAATTTATTTTAAACGTTATAATAAACACTTAAGCATCCTTCGTAATTTTTATTTCTACCGTATCCAGAGCCTAATAAGCAGCGATGGAAGGAAAGCTTCCTGAACATGTTTAAAAATTCCTGATTATCAAGAATATGGCTTGTGTAAATAATAAAAATTAATAGAAAAATCATAAAGATTTTTGATTGGACACTAGTCAGTGACTAGTTAATGTGTCCAATCCTATATTTGGTCTAGACTGAATTCTATCAGTCAAGTTTGCAACGTCGCCACCATGTGAGGTGGCCACCAGTTACTGATTAGTGTCCAATCGAAAATATTCAACATAGTCCTACAGGAGAAGGTTAGTCATAAGACCTAATAGCTCGGTGGTAACGTCTCTGACTTCAGACAGGCCTTGCTGGTTGGTGTTCCAAGAAGCACGAAACCTAGGTCCAAAATTTCCCGTCGATTGCCTCTAACCATCTAATACCAGCAATGATAGAAATTTCTGATAATTTCCCCATACGAATTGCGAGTTCTATAAAATCAGTACCCGTAAGGTCATTCAGTGATGAACTAAAAACCATGAATTGTAACTTTACAAGAAAAACACTTCTTTCCTAAATTTGAATATCATTTGTCGACGATGTTCAGTAAATGACTTAAGGAATTTTTGCAGGTTTTCTGGAGAAAAAGATGACTTTTGTGATGCTGAAGTATTCGAAAATACCGTAACGAAATAAGGATAGCATGGGCGTCCACATTCATACCCAAAACTATCAGTGTATCTAGCAGGTGAAAGGTAAACGGGAAGCACTGCAGTCATGGATGTCAGTTGATTGCACACTGCTGTAAATGTTACGTACTGACTTGCCAACCTAAATTCATATCTTGAACTTCGTAAGACTGAAGTAAAACAGAGTAGAAATGAGTCTTCATCACGTGATTAATAAAAATAACGCTTTCAACTTAGAAAGTTATGTGGTTAGTAAAATTAATTTACGTCAAAAAGTGTAACCTCTTTGAAAGAAATTTAAAAAAACAATTTTTATTCAAATAGAACTTTGACCAATAAGCGGTATGGATTATTCTTTACATGAGAACTAGTCGTTTTAATATGAAGACATGCCACCGAAAACAACTACTTTAAAGTAGTCATGAAGTGTTAAATAAATCATTCAGTCGTCCTCAATGGTTGCAACTACCATAGTTTACGTTAGTTTTCTCCAAAAAACACCATTCGGTTTGTACTACTGTAGGTTATAAGAATGTCACTGTTTTAGCTTTCTAAGAACTTAGTTTTACATTTTGTTCACTGCTTATGCTCGTGCTGATGACTAGTAAGGTTAATAACTTGAGTCTAGTAGTATAAAAAATTTGGTTACTGTAACATTTTAAGATATTCACCCTCTTGTGGATTAGGCGAAAACTACTAGTCAAATGTGCTCATCAACATGACAGTAAAGTGCTTCATTTTACTTCAATGTCAGACACTTGGGTTAATCAGTAAGTAAGGAACATCTACTTCTGTAGGTTTTGGGTAGTTGGAATTCTCCAACAAAACATTCACCTGTACACTGTTATAACAGACTGAGTGTATTCTTCCTTTTGGAAATGCGAAATTTTTAAGAATCGAAGAGCATGTACATTTTTGTTCATTTGAGAGTTTGCAAAAATAGATTAACTCTGGCGACGGACAAGCCAGGAAGTTACCAAGCAATAAACAAGCAGAAAAAAAAGAGGAGATAAATTAGAAATATGACGAAGAGAAAGTTGAGTGGCATCTCACACCAGACTGGCGGTCGACACGAATGTGGATAGAAAAATAGAAGTTGAGCGTCCGAGGGTGATATAGAAGAGATAGTATGAGGGGAAAATTAGAGTCTAAGGGTGATCTTGGAACCAGCTAAAAGAAACTAAAGAGAAAAGTGTGAAATCGAGATGTTCTGATGAAGCCATGTGTTCTCCTCAGAAGCCAAGGCAATAACCCTGATAGTAAATGAACACAGAGGAAAATGATATTTATTTATAAATATCATTTTATTCTTTTAGGGCTTCAATCTAGTGCTTCAAATTTTCGATAGCAGTGGTGTTTATTTTTATAGGGTGAGGTTGCCAGCCTCATGCCAAACCTTCCCTCTTTACAAGTCTTATTACTGGCTTAGCGATGTAAAATAGTAAGTCAGCCGGGTATGAAGCCCCGGACCACATGGACGGATGGCGAACGTTCTACCGTTGATCAACCGACGCACACAAAAAAGCCGGCAAAATCCGGCATTCCCAGCTAGTCACCCATGCAAGTACTAACCGGACCCAACGTTGCTTAAATTCGGTAATTGGAAGAGGTTAATAATAATACCTCTAAGTGATGTAAAAAAAAGCTATTCTAAATAACTATCCTCCTAAGTCCGTTCAAAAATTTATAAAGACCTAAGGGAAAAAGAGGATTAGTGATGTGACAATTATCATAGAATGGGAATTAAAGAGTTAGAAACCTCCATAGAAGTTTATCACACTATAAAATTATGTGACATGAAGAAAAGTATCAGAAGAATTATTTTACCTTAGTGTCCAGAGCTGTACTCTTACACGACGGTAACTCTCATCTATTGAATTACAAAAACGAAAGAATTAGCTATCCTGTTGTATCCGAATTAAAAAATAATTATGATTGTTTATTTGAAGTAAATATTAAGGACTTTAATAATAAAGTGAGAAAAGAACAACAAATGTCTTTTTTAAAGAATAAAATGACTAACTAGGCAGTGTGCTTACCAAGCTGTTTTCACGTCTGCTGAACTAATTAAATCAACTGTCAACATCCTGTTTCAGCCTTGTGAAATAACACTCTAGGACAAAAGTATTTTTGACAAATATAATTCACAAGTTTGTACATACAAACTATCATACACTACGGTATACTTGAAAGGTAGGCTATTCTTTGGTGTTATGAGCAGTAAACAGAATGACAATTTGAGAACAACTAAGTTCAGCGAAGAGGCTGTTTTGAGCGAATTCATTCATTTAGCTGTACAATCGCATTCTTATATAATTACTTTGTGTTCGTTTAAATTAAGATGCCAAACAAAAATGAAAATTAGTTAGGGTAACTGTCTATATCATCGAAATGTTTCAAAAATGTGATGAATACTCAGAATTGTAACTAAGGGGTGAAGATTGGTAAGTAATGACAAGAGTTGCGTAATATGAAGTAGGATGTTAATGGAAACACGTGTCCAAAATAAATTACACAATAGGCGTAAAGAGTGAATAGAGGATTCGTTAAAAAGATTTACTAAGATGTCATGCAAAAATTCAAAAAACCGAAAACATTAAAGTAGAGAAACTTGAAATCATACCTAAGGTATAAGGAGGGATGGAGAAGTTTCTTCTGTGTTCATAAATCAGGTTTTTCTATCCAGATCCCTAAGACTTCGGCAATGCAAAGTATACGGAAGCTTACCGTTTTCGAAGCGCTTCTTTTGACTTTGTAGATGATTTTGAATGAATTCTCCGTGCAAATTGAGTGATCAATGTTGATCATGTGTTCAATTATAGCACTTTTTATTGATCCAATGTTACCTTTTCGTAGCCAAGCGGGATAATGTTCTTTGACTCTTTTAAATAAAACACGAATCAAACGACTTACATATCTCCTCTATTTGTCCTTAATGAACATTTTTTACGAATTCACTGCACTTTGCTATTTATCAAAATTAGTAGTAATCCCTAAGATTAGTGGTAACTACATTAATGAGGTTATAAACAGTAACAAACAAAACAAGCTGATTTGTAAGAACTTATAGTTAACTAACAGGTGTTGACAAACGACACAATGTAATCAAAATCTCTGATGGGAATCATTATTAATCGCCATATGAACAGATGAATGGTCTATATGTCGAAAGGAACCATATCGAATAACGACTGATGGATTAAGCTTCATGTGGAATAGGATGTACAAGGCGGACAAGTATTGGTACAAATAAGAACCAGTCAGAAGTGTAAATGAAATCACATTAATAATTATGAATTAATATTCATATTAATGGTTAATGAGATAACACGAAACCCTAAGAAAAACAAAATTTTAAGTGATGATATATCCAGAGAACAGTCATTACCGCATCATCTGACACAAAATCTTTCATTCAGATAAATATTCGACTCCAGTTAATAAATGTATAAAAAATATCGTCCTATTACATGGATGAGTTTCTAACTTTAACGATTAAATCATAATGTGATTTTTCCTCTTTAGTTAAAACCAATTCAATGTTTGGCGATGATAAACAATCCTCTGGTCTTGGCATCATTCCTTCAGCCATATCATGGCTATTTCGATTGATATCTGAGCAAAAGGAACGAACCGGTGCTAGATTTTCAGTTCGTATATCTGCAGTTGAAGTCTATGGTAAAGAGGAGGCATTGAGAGATCTTTTATCTTCTGTTTCAAACGGTAAGTCGACTATGTTCGTTTTTCGATAGCAATAATAAAAAAAGATAACTTTGAAAAAAATCACGATAAAACCAGTTTGTATTTTTTTGGGCATGAAAAATTAGTCTCTTTGTTTAATCTTGATTATTGACTTCGTTTATTTTTCTGCCTTTGAGATAAAAAAGAAAAAAATTGCAAGTGGACGCCATTTTGTCCGTTGTCTTTTCTGAGGAAAATCCATCATTTTCATGTTTATAAAGTATGCATGCATGCATGTAAGAGTGTGTGTGTGTGTGTGAAGTGTTAGTTTGTGTACAGCCGAGTGGGTGAGATTGCGACATTAACATTATCAAGAAGAGATTTAGGGGAATACAGGTTTTTGTCGTGGGGTAACAGAAATGTGTTTCGAAAACTAGAATATCGTGACTGAGATTAATGAATAACAGCTGAAAGATTTGTTTGTTTGTATTTTTTACTTAGTGAAATCATGTTTCTTGATAAAATGATTTCCCTAACAAAAACTGAAAAGTATTTCTGTTTCCATGTTTAAAAAGCATGGTGATTTGCCGCACTCCTCACGCTATTCATTAAAAATGTCCCAGTAATATATCTTATACCATGATAACTTTCTGATTGTTAGCTGAATAAACTGGAAAACCGTCAGTGTAGAAACACCTAAAACTTGTAAGAAACTGTGGATTTGAGTGATATAAGGAGACGGCAATATAAAACACTCAGAAACATGGAAAAATGATAAACACTGTCCTTACTTATTTGTTGACGGGTAAAGCTGGGTAATTATGGGTCTTTATTCTATCCTGTTTCGAAAGTTTTAGTTGCATCTGCCTTAACCATGCATGGCTTCGGTATACACACTGAAATACAACTTCGAATAAATTTCTTTAAACGCCGAATTATTAGTTCACTAGTATCTCATCTTTTGTGATAGGTATTCATTTATTATTATGCTTTCCAATGACTTCTTCCTCAGGAGGTAAAGTAACAAATCCATAATTATCGGCACACAATAGCCAGTAAAGCCGAAATTTTAGTAATATCAGTCCAGTTGAATTAAATGAAAGGTAGTCTGGTAAGTGGTTAATTTAATGTTCGATCAAATAATATATATGAGATGAAATGGTTTGGTGACATATTTATGAGCTAATAATGAACAAACAATCTTCGTCTGTCATATTTATTCCCGTATATTAATTAGGCTGAAGGAGGTATTGAGTTGTCTTGCCAAAGAACTCAAATATTAACAGAGTTTGATTGGTTTAATTCAGTGAAGAAAAGCAAAAAATTGTTGAAAACGTGTTTACTGAAAAGTAAAATTTAGGTTCAAGCTACTATCATCATTTAAAGTTAGTGTGTTTGGTGGTGGTGATCAGTAGAATTCAAGACGTGTGGTTCGTCTCCCTGGGGAATTGCCATTTGGATGCGCTTACTGCTCAGTGAAACTCGAAACCATCAGAGTGTTATCCACAAGTGACTCAACTACAATAGCCGCTTTTACCGCTTTTCGTTGACAAAACAAGTAACTTCGAGTTTTTTAAACCCGGTCATTTCGGAATATTCTGTTAAGTAGCTCATATACTAAACTGAAGCTAAACAGTGTGGTCAGATAGATCAACAGGAAATCACTAGCATTGCTATCTGTAGCGATAAATTTTTGCGTTTAACCTCAAAAGAGCATCTAATTCAAAAAGCAGGTTTGTTTGGAGTTTTATGTCATCTTCCGACAAATGTGATTCCATTGTTTAGTAAATAACATTCACCAACTTATATTAAAGAGACAAACATTTCAAAAATTCATGTAAAAGCAGAATTTAGGCACTGTGGTATTGTAAAGGTAGTAGACAAGAGATTTGGTTAATGAATATTTATTTGGAATTTCTTATCTCTGTATAGGGAAATTATGTAGACTTTATCTGCCAATCGTCATTTGCACAGATCTTCCGTGTTGTGCTTATTCTGCCCTTTGTATTGCCTTTCTTTGTCCTCTTTTCGTGTCTCCCGTGTTTTGCAGCAACGCAGAGAAATTCACTCTCTTTGATGTCAAATCTAACTCTCCAATGTTCGATATTTTTATTTAGTTGAACGTCATTATTCATGTGCCACTGATAAATCATATCAGTAGCACATACCAGAGTAGGATACAAGCCCACATTAGATAACTTTATTAATTATAAGATACAGTGATACAGTGTTTAAATAACTGAATGATGTCTCAAGCACAATTTATTGCTCATAGTCGATATCATATCAGGTAATTATGGGCAAAAAATTGTATTCAAAGTGCCATTCAGTTATCAATACTTCGTCACTGAGTATTGTGTCAAATAAATTCACCACATATGGAATTGTGAAAATGAAATGTACTATCTTAATCATACAGTTTAATGTATTAGCTCTCCCTTATACCAAGACTACACACAGGACTCTGTAAACGTTATGTATAACAGCAATTACAAGGGGAGACTTTATTTAACTCATAATTTCTTAAAGAAACTATCATAATAAGTTTATTACATAACATTAGTCATTTAACTTTCATTTTTTCTTAAGTGAATTACGTGAAATCCAACAGGTGGAATTCCTCAGCACGTTTTGGTGTACCAGATTGTCACCCATACTTTTTTTATGAGTTCTAACAGTAGAAATTGTGCATTATTAGCGTTAAGAACTAGGAACAGATGATTTAAGTTTCATTGCTTAAACTATGGGATTCATACTCTTTACACTATTATTTTTTTATTCCTTCACGTCCCCAGTGGAACATAGGGCTTCAAACTAGAGGCTTGAAGTTTCTGTGGCAGTGTTTACTTTTACAGGATGGGGTTGCTAGCCTCATGCTCAACCTTTCCTCTTTACCAGCATTATTTCTGGCTTGGCGAGGTAAAGGAGTGCGTCGGCCGGGAATCGAACCCCAGACCATGTGCATGGTCGGCGAGCATCCTAACCGCTGTGCCACCGATGCACCTTCTTTACACTTTGATAACTATTCATGCATTCTTCATGGATTAATATAAAACTTTAGGTAAAATGTACTAATTTACTCTTTGATTATTACTATTCTACTGACCAATAATGACTTTACTTATTCCTGATTACAGCGACAGAAGCAGCTGGAGCTAATGCACCTGGAATCTACCTTCGTGATGATCCAATTTCAGGCACTCAGTTAGAAAACCAAAGTGAACTTAGAGCACCAACAGCTGACAAAGCAGCTTTTTATTTAGATTCAGCATTATCTGCACGTTGTCAGCCTATAGCAAGTGGTGCTTCATCATCAACAAATCCCTTACCAGCTTCCTCCTCCTCATCGTCATCTTCTACCAATCCTGTTGTCCTATGGAAAAGAAATTCACATTTATTTTTCACGCTACATATTTACCAGTACAGAGTAGAAAGAAGTGGAATAGGTTCTGGTGGTAAGTATTGTCGTAATGTTCACTTTGAAAATACTTTGGTCTTATATTCAACTTTCTGCCCTGTATTATGGTTTTTCTTCACAACTTAAACAAAATATTTATTGTACTTAGGAACAGGTAAAACTAAGTTTCTCAAAATTTGTTTGCTAATGGTTAAAACTATTGTTAACTGAAAGTAATCAAGTTGAGGCAAACTGTTTCTAACAGTTCAAAATTTCACTTTAAAAACGTTGCTTTATGACAGCTTATATCGATTTCTCCGTAAAAGTATTTAACTCATTTCCTAAGCTACTGATTAATTCTAAAGAAAAATTTCCTAGGACGATATAATTCCCAAAGGGAATAAATTACTGAAACACAAAATAGTCTATCCCCCTAATTTAAATATATGTAACATGGAAGATAGGTAATAGAATTAAATGGTTTCCGTGCATTTTTTTCAATCAAGGTGACAAATTCCACATCGGCTTTCATAGATTTACTTAAGCAGACAATATACCCAGTACACTGAAAGCAAGAAGGTGATACTAATTACTCCTTATCCTTACTGTCATCATCATGAATCTGATGATAACATACTGAGATAATAAATGCTGGAAGATAATCAACAGAGTTCACCAAGAAACGAAAGTTTCTTTCTGTTAAAATCATATATGTGCGTCGGTGGCACAGTGGTTAGGACTCTCATCGACCATGCACATGGTCCGAGGTTCGAGCCTCCGCCGACGCACACCTGATATCTATGGTCGGCCTGCAAAATTTGGGCTACCGATATCCATGCTGAAAATTCCATACTTGTACCAAAAATACAGTGTGGAATCAAGCTGTAAATCAAAAAAAAATCTAAAAACGTAACTTTGTGTCAATACCTTCAGAACAGCCTCATTTTGTAAACTGGAAAGTCTGTCATTTTATACCCACTGAAATATTATCAGAACCTTTTAACCAAGTAAACGTCTTTGATGCAATACACCTCTTCCATTTTGATTTAACAATAGTAACTAGTGTGATGTGTCTAGTCCTCTCTTTGGTGCCGACTGAACTCTATCAGTCAGGTTTGCAATGTGGCCACCATTCTAGGTAGCTCGCCATCATGGCGCACATTGATTTGATGATATTAGATAGTTGGAGGTAATCGCATCAATGAGAGGACTAGACACATCACACTAGTTACTAGTGTCAAATCAAAATATTCACTACAGTCCTACAGGAGGTCAATCACGAGCCTGAACAGCTCAGTGGTAACGTCTGTGACTGGAACACTCACTGGGTGACGCGGGTTCGAATCTCAGAGGAGAAATGAGTCCCTTCAAGTTTGCAGATAAGCCTTGCTGACTGGTGAGTGCCAACTAGCACGAAACCTAGATGTGTCTGAGGCTTCCTGCCGATTACCTCCAACTGTCTAATATACCTCTTCCATGTTAACGTCTCCATTTCGAAGTAGTGATTTTGCTTTGGCACCAACTAAAAGGATCTTCACAATAAAGAGTCAAAGAGTGAGCCATCTGTATATCATCTACAACATCTCCAAGCAATCTGAAGTCTTCATTGGATAGGTGGCAAGGATTGCTAGGAAAAAATAACTCCATTCTATGCCTTAAATTAGTGTTAATGTAAATACAGATTAACTAGAAGGAAGTTGCTAAATTCTGTTCTCCTACCTACGTTTGTAATATAAATTTTAGCAATGTTTGCTTACTTATTTTTTACGTTGAAACTTAGTTTTCTGAGTTTCTTCATTATTCATGAATAATCCCCATCCAGGCATTAATTAAAACAAAACACGTAGTTCAGCGAAGAGTCTCTTTTCAGCAAATTCATGTTATATTAGTTTAGGCATTTGTAGCTTTTTAAGATAATAAGGGTTTATATTCCATTAACTATACGGAGAAATTCTTCGTGTTTCTGAAGTATCTCAGTAGGATTCACTTCTTTGTAGTTTCTATTAAATATCATAATTTTAAAACTTATCCAGGTTCAAGACGAGACGAGTTATTCTCACGAAATTCTATACTCTAGAATGGTTCTATGGGCTGCGAATAATAATCAAGAAAGCCCCATTCTTCCTCTTTCTGACCATTCTCAGTCATATGAAACCATAACTGAGCTTTTCACTGTCTTTGTTTGACTTTTTCCATGTACGAACGAAAGCCCCCAACAATACGTCTGTTAAGTTGTCCAGCTGTTTATCCTATAAGGTTTTCTCCTCAGAAGCAGCTAAACTTTGAAAGACACTGAGGAGTTGCACATCTAAGTAATTTATCTTTTGCCTGATTAGTTACGATTGATCAGCTGCAAAATGATAAAGAAAGGGTGGTGAGAGTATGAGTTGTTTTTAAGGCTATTGAAAGTCTTCAACAAGTGCGTCGGTGGCACAGTGGTTAGGACTCTCGCCGACCATGCATATGGTCCGGGGTTCGAGCCCACGCCGACGCACACCTGATATCTATGGTCGGCCTGCGAAATTTGGACTACCGATATCCACGCTGAAAATTCCATACTTGTACCAAAAATACAGTGTGGAATCAAGCTGTAATCGAAAAAAAAATAAAAAAAAGATTTTTGTTTGCAAGCATGCATGACTGTAGCAGCTATCCGTGGCGTTTCATTTATGACATAGGGTAAAGCAGTTAATTTTGCCGTTTTTTCACGAAATGATAATAACAGGACACAGTTCTAAAAGTAACATTCACTTCATTACAGGATTTCCTCATGAGCTGACATTGGTCAGAGAACCATTTGAAAGCCTGGGAGTACTGGACAGCTGTTTCGTCCTAGTTGGGACTCTTCAGCAGTATGTACCCACCAACAGGGTTCGAACGCAGGACCTTCCGGTTACAAGGCTAGCGAGCTCGTATACCATGAAGCCACTGGGACCCTATCCAATGGCCAGTCCATGAATTCTAACTTTTGCCAATTCACGATATAGCGCAACCGCTAGCCAATGTCTTCGGCGAGTATTTGTCCTCACACCCGACCATCTGCACCCTACTGGTCTCGACTTCCCACTAGAAACCCAGGTAACTACTTACCTATTCAGTGAATTGGCAGAAGTTAGAATTCATGGGCCATTGGATCGGGTCCCAGTGGTTCAGTGGTCTACGAGCTGGCTCGCCTTGTAACCAGAAGGTCCTAGGTTCGAACCCTGGCGGTGGGTGCATACTTCTGAAAGAGTCTCAAACTAGGGCAAAATAGCTGTCCAGTACTCCCTGCAGGTTTTCGAATGGTTCTCTAGCCAATGTCAGCTCATGATGAAATCCTGTAACCAATCAAAAAAATCCCTACAAACCAATACTTGAATAACATTCAATTCAAAAGTATATGTGTGAAAAACCAGTTAACTACTACTTTTGTGTAACAAACTTATCTTGAAAGTATTGATTCACCCTTGAAACAAGTGTCTATTCAAATCAGTGGAAAATAACATGAGAAAGCGTTGCATTAAGTGAATGATTCATTGGAGTATGTCTCATTAAGAAATGCTGTTGTTGTTATTATTATTATTATTACAAACCTGAGCTTTTTGATTACTTATCTGTCTACTATAACTTTTGATAATGATACTTGTTGATTTTCAAAACCATTAATAAAGAGGAAGTCAACAGTTTCTGTGTGATAAAGTTCACATACTTTAAGAAATTCTAGTCATTTCTTTATTTTAATGTAACAGTTCATATTTATTAGTTTTAATTCGAAAGTGAATAGACTGTTTACTTACGGTATTTAACACTGAAAAATTACACACACACAAATAACTCTTGTGCAACACTGAAACAGTATACTTCATTCCATTCATAGGCATATTTATAAATGTGCGATATTCATCTCGAGATTATCAAGATCCATCTTTCTAACATTTATGTTAAGTAGAGTTCCTGATTGGCGTTTCCAGATGATACACAATGAATCCTCGCTCCTGACTTCGTGCTCATTGGCGCTTATAGGTACAGTTCATCTGTAGACCAAAGTGCGTCAGTGGCTTAGAGATAAAATGTCCGTCAGCCAATCAGCTGTCAGGGGTTCGGTCTATGACCGACGCACTCACAAACCTTGCTTAGCTACTAATAAGCCTGGTAGAGAGAGGAGGTTGGGCATGGGACTAACAATCCCAACTAGGAAAAATAAAACCACTGCTACCGAAACTTTAAAGCTCAAGCATGAAGTCCATATGTTCCACTGGGAACAGAAAGGAATAAAAATAACCTCTGGACCAAAGGGAACTTATGTACCAGCTGGGCTTAGACACGTGCCGCTCTGTGAACACGCCATATATTGAACTACTAAACTCATTAACTCTACGTTGAATACTTAACTGTACTATATTATACAAGGGTGTTACCATATTTCTCACTCTATCAGTAGGTTTCGAATAAATCACTTGAGGATGGATGACTGTAATCGTTACCGTCAAGTGATGAATATGTATAGAACTGAAATTATTGGTAAATATTCAACTACAGAGAAGTTTATTACATTTTTTTCCTTTAATATTATTCTAAAGTAATCAAAGCAATGATTCTAATACCACGTATTATTTTTGTCTGACTTTCATAAAGTTGCTGGCGGTCGAAGTCGATTACATTTAATAGATTTAGGAAATGCAAAATTATCAAAAGATACGACACAAAACAATACAGTAAAAGACTCTGATTCTAAAGATTCAGAAAACAAACAACATTCAACCTCTTCAAATGATTCAGCATTATCTCTCTCATCTATGACATCAGTTGTCCTGGCTTTAATCAACGGGAATAGACATCATCCACACAGAGATAGTAAGCTATCTCAGATGTTACGTGAGGCAGTTAGCAGTATTGGATGTCGCACATGCATTCTTATACAAACATCCCCGAGTGCAAGTTATTATCAAGAAAATTTACAGGTAAGTAAACAATAATTAACAACAAATTTCCTAAATTACCTCACAATGAATTTTCGTTTATTAAGATCCCTGATAAATCCCTTCACTTCTTTATTCATGGAGAATTCTAACAGTTCGCCTTCTTCTTCAGAGACGTGCTGAAGATGCTGCGTTAAAGAAAAGAGATACCTTTACAATTAAGGCATCCAGCTCAGGAAACACAACAGCATCAGAAACGCTCATCAAGATTTCTTACTAAAAACACATGAAATATGCAGTGCTATGATCGAAAAGGATCAGATCACCCCCTCCCCGCAGGGTAGGATGTGTCACTCATCAGCTGTAGTACGCCAATATTTTTATTAACTGGTGAAGAATTTACCGTCTTCACTTTTCATAATCCCCATCAGACATGTGATTAGACCATTGGTCAAAAAGCTTTTTTAAATGTCTCGATAATATTGTCTGAGGATGCAGGGAAATATATCAAGAATTAAACCATGCGACTTTCCGGCAAATACATTTTATACACCTATTGTGTACTATATACAATTTTGATTTCCTGAAATTACTATGATAAAACCCAATGTAAAGGCGAAATGTTTTCAAAAACTGGTAATGATGAATTGAATTGGTCGAGTTGTTAGTAGCTTCCAGAACAGCTGAATAACGATTAAGTGACATATACAACTTTTAATTTGTTCACCTTAGATAGTTTTATGATGCGTGACTGAATTTTATTCTATTGTTTGCACTGAGAATGGGACAGCATACGCTGTAATAATTAAACTTCTTATTACACTAGAATATGACATCATATAGATTTAATAATATTAATAATAATTTGCTTTATTCCAAAACAGTACTTGTGGTACAGAATGGAATTCTCTGTATTTTACTACATTATTGCATCCAGTTAATACATTAACAATAAATAAGATCCTACATAGACTAAGGATAATCTCAGTTAGATTTTGACAACAATATGTTGGTATGTCAGTAGCAAAGCCAAAAATTGAACAGAGTGTTTGAAGGTGTTAGAAGAGCAGATGCTGGCATATTCACTGGCGTAAGCGGTAACAAAAATGTCGAGATACACGGAGTGCGAAAGAATGAAGAATGTTTTAATAGAGTTTGTAAGGGAGAAAGAAACAAAGCTGAACATAACAGAAAAAAAGAGAGAGAGGAAAGGAAAAGAAAGAAAACGTTTTACCTATAAATGATATGAGTTGGGAAGACAAGATCCAGTTGTTCTACTCACTATTTAATAAGTTAAAGGTTTCACGCCTAATGCTTTCTTTTCGCACAGAACACGAGCTGAGTAGGGTATGGTTGAGTTTTTGTTCTTACTAGTGAGAGATATAGTTTTCTATATAGGCTTCTGGTCTGCCTGCCTGATGGGATACAAGGGGAGAGTTGTGAATGAAGAGGGTGGTGTGAGTTAGATAGTCAGAATGGATTTAGCCCATTTTTCACATGAGTCCATGTGCCCGTCAACCAGAATATTAATAAGCTGGTTAAGTGGGACGTTGATTACCCTGATGACAACTTTAACATCCTTCGTAATAAGGTATAGTCTTTCTTCAGTAGCCCTGGAAAAAGTAAGGGAAACAATAGAGAATGATAGGCAGAATGCAAGAGTTAACGAATCTTAAAAGTAAGGATTGGGTTATTCCAGAATGTCTTAACTTCTTGATGTAGAAGGTAAGATGGAATATTTTCTTAGAAATCATCAAGATATCAGACGATCAGGTAAAGATCACCAGAGAGAGTGACGCCAAGATATTTGATTTCCGACTTGGTCTCTGTTTCAGTGCCATCTATGTTGCACACCTCGTGAGTGCTATCCAGTTTGTTTAGGTCAGATTAATGCCTAAAGATGTAACTGACTGTTTGACATTTAGAGGAATTTAAGGTAAGACCGTTTTACTTGGACCATTGGCTGATTTCTGATAAAAAGCCATTTAGTTTTGAGCAGTCACTTTGACACTCGACAGGCGAAGATACTGTCAGGTCGTCAGCATATTTAACAAAATAAATGTCATTTGAAGATTGTAAGTCACGTAGAAAGAAAGAAAAAAGAAGTGGGGAGAGTGCAGCACCTTGGGGACACCAGCTTCAGTAAGCACGGCAGAGGAGGATTTATCTTTGTCTACAGTGTACAGCGTACTTCTGTTTGAGAAGTAGGAATGCTTGTTTTCAAGCATCTTTTATAAATACTTACATACGAATTAAAACATTTATTTTCAAATTCTGTCACCAAGGGTTTGTTCTTTTAAATTAACTCAGTAGTAACGCACTGAATTCTGTTCAAACTCATTTCTTGTCTTTGGTTTTGAGAGTGAGTAGAGTATCGTAATCCCATATTATTATTATTATTAAAGAATTAAATGGAATGTTGATTCTTTTTTTAATAGCTGTTGCAGTTCGCTTCAAAAATCCAAAGAGCTCGACGTCACAAAACACACGACAGAACATTATCTGAAAGCAGTTCAAACAATACTGAACAAGAATCAAAAATAGATGAACAAACTACCAGTTCTGAAGATAGCTCATCTTGTGACAGTTTTGGTTTGAGACGTGCTGGAAGATTACGTCTAAATATGGGTCTGCGTTCCGCTTTGAAACATTCAAATGGATATAAAGGATTTTCGACTAGATATAGACACTATGGACCTGATAGTCATTTAAGCCTTGCTGCTTCTTCAGAAAAAGATTATACATCGAGTAGTGAGCAGTCATGTGATACTGTAATATATCTGGGCCGCCAAGGTTTATTGGATCATCACCACGATTCAAGTCAGAAGGCACGATCTCGACAAGGGAAACCATTGTCTGGATCAAATATGGATACAGATTCAGTGAGTTTACATCTGTCTACAGTTATTGCTTAATATTTATTTCTGCCCCATGCTTTTAGTAGTTCGAGTAAAGGGTATAGACATTTAACTTAAAAAGGATAATCAAAGGCATTTAATATCACTTTTTTAGAAGGCCTGGCAATTCTGATATCAAGTATATTGGATAGTAGCAACAGCGATGATGGTTCACAAGGATTACATGAACAGCAACCACTTTTTTCATCACCTTACGCTTTATTGAATGTCATAAATAATAAATACGGAAGCCTGTCTGTTGTTACAACGACATCAAAAGTGTATCCCACACAAAAATCAACAGTCTGACATTCAGCTGATTTGTCTTCTAGGGTGAATAAACTGACTGTCTCTGTGACTTATGGTAGGTCAGAAAATTCACCTTCCTCTCGGTAGGCATTGAATATACACTATCATTAACCTAGGTGATTTGGTCGAGTAACACATCTTCTATATTCAGTCCTTCTCAATTAGTTATCTGCAATTATTAACTGTTACTTTACGTATGACATGGAATGTGCCATTTCTTCGAAATCGCAACCTTTATTAGTACTATTATTATTCGTTCGTTGAGTTCTGAATGGAACAGTACGACCGTAGCGGAATTCCACCATTACTCTTGGTCGCCTGTCATCGCTTTGTCCTGGCTCCACAACTGCCCACAAACTTGCATTTCCTATTCACATGATTTTTCCGTGTTACCTAGGGCATTCAATGCTTTGCTTCCCGTTTGGATTGCACTCAAAGACTTAAAATGTGATGTCATTGAGTGTTCTCCTCAGTGGATGCTCAGTCCACCTTCATTTGTTTCCACGTATTTGTTGGATGAGTCATAGGTTCCTGGCTGGTATCCTAGTTACCAGAGTTTTTGTTACTTATCTCTTCAAACCGGACATCTGATCTTTAGTGTCCAGTCTGTGAAGGCAGGTGTTGATGAAAGCCTGAAACTTGTTGAAAATGTTTTTGGTGATGATCTCGTCAAACTTCTGAATCGTATAGTAGCGCTGACTTGATATCTGTGTTGAAACTTCGAATCTAGTTCCTAGTGAAATTTTCTTTTTCATGCTTATATCTGTCAAGGAATAAGGATCTGTGTCCTAATGTCATCGTTGTAACTCATGTATATGACTGTCTTAAAATCTTTCATCCTGATTGTCAGACAAAACGACAAAATATCTAATGAGGTTACTGTAACCGAATATATGTGAATTTCCAAGGTTTATCCCCTAACAACCCACGTCTTTAATGCTTTTTGGTCCAATTTATCTAATTCCTCCCAGGTACGATATCAGCCGGTGGCATAGTGGTTAGGACGCTCACCGAACATGCACATGGTCCGGGTTCGATCTCGTTTACCTCGCTGAGCCGGAAATACAGCTGGTAAAGAGGAAAGGTTGGGAATGAGGCTAGCAACCCCATCCTGTAAAATAAACAGTGTTACAGAAACTTCAAGCCACTAGCTTGAAGCCCTATGTTCCACTGGGGAACGTGAAGGAAAGAAAACAATATCAGCCTACCAAGCAAAGGAAATCTAAATCACTGTTAGAAAATTTTTCATGTGCCTAAGTTGGAAAACTTGGTTTCAAACGTATACAAACTGTATTTTCTCCCTCCTTACTTATTCTCTAATTTCCTACTAGAAATAGGACATTTTAATGAACACCTGAAAATATATAAAATTATTTTCACGAAATAATATTAGTGAGAAATCAGGTACATTTCATTATGACTTTATTGTAAATCACACTATATTCTGTGGTAGGTGAAAATTTGATGTATGCAACATCCATAACTCATTTTATTTGGGAAAGATATTAAGTATATTCTTCTAAATATCTATGAGATATATTCCATAACTTCGTTTCGTTACATTTTATTTAGGAGGCAAGTGGAGGAAGCAAAATTAAACAGTTTGGTGGACAGCAATCTCATGGTTCTCCTGTAGGCTCTTCAGTTGGTGTACCAAGTGGTAGTGGAGGAGGAGAAAGCGGTTCAGGAGGAGGGCATTCAGGTAGTCACACGAATTCCGGTGATCTTTACTCGCCACATGCCGTACATTCCAAGGAACGGAAGAAATCAGCTCCTCGTACTAATGTCTATGCATGGCCGCGTAATGCAGTCAAAAATGCAATTGAGACGTTGAGTACTCAAAAAGAACAGTGGGTTGATGGACCTAAATCAGATTTCCACCCATCATCTACAAGCCATCAAATATCTCAGACTAGTTCAACAGCTCTACCAAAACGTAACATGATAGATAAAGTAAGTTTCTTTCCTCTATTTTCTCACTATATGAAAGAGTCGACCAATTTATCAAGGCATCTGGTCACTGCCAAAATCAGTCAAATAGCGATTCGAGCTAAACACCAAAATAAATAGTGAAAACCACATTTATCTTAATTCACCCCGATCTAAAAGACGCATATCACTAAGCATTATTCTTAAATATTTCTCAAAGTATTTTGAATTTGTTTGCATCCTTCTTGGTCGTTACTGTTTAAGCAAGAAATTGATAACTAGAATAGTGAAGTCATGTGATCTAGGTAGGCGTTGAATTTGGCTGTTTGCAAAGATGATCTAAATGTTCCTGTATAGTAACAAATGTACCAAATATTTCCAATTGGTTAGAATTATGTAACTAAAAGAGAAAAAGAAATTGAAATCAAATACAGTAATAGTGAAACCATAAATAATGAAAACGACTACACCTACACAGCCATTCAAATGTGAAAGATCTGAAGAGATGAGTTTAATTATGACCATATATGGGCGAAATGTTTAAAAGTCCCTATTTATATTTGGATGCTGTTAGCCAAGACAATTTTTGGTTTCAAACTTGAATACTTCATAACGAAATGATAAACTGACGTTAAACGAATTAGGCTTTAAGCTCTAATATTCACTTGTATTATTTTTATGGATCTGCATTTGAAACCTTATCTGATGTCAGATTTATGACTAATAAGCTGATAAGTATCCCCATCAGAAGAATATCATAAACATGAAACTGTGTTAGGAAACCAGCTTACTCTATGAATTTTGAGACGGGGAAAATCAGTAAAATATGCTAGAACTACTTAATCCCAGTCTAAGCTTTCTCCCTATGGAAGAATATTCAGGATTCTGATATAAATGGCACAAAAAACAATAAATGATTGATTTGTTACACTGCAAATTTAAACGAGTAAAGATCTAATACACATTCTGATTATGCTAGATGGTTGGAGGCGATCGCTAGAAAGCCTTGGACACACCTAGGTTTCGCGCTAATCGGCAGTCATCATTCACCAGAGCGTATCTGCAACCTTGAAGGTACTCATGTCCCGTCTGAGATTCGAACCTGCGTCACCCAGCGTTGCAGTCAGAGACGTTACCACTTAGCTATTCAAGCTGGCGATTGACATCCTGTAGGATGGTAGTGGATACTTTGATTGGACACTAGTAACTAGTGTAATCTGTCTATTCCTTTCTTTGGTGTGGACTAAATTCTACCAATCAGGTTTGCAATGTGGTTACCATGCTAGCCATCACGGTGCACATGAGCTCCTTCAACGTTGCAGATATGCCTTGCTGACGAGTGCCAACTGGCACGAAACCTAGGTCCAACGTTTCCTGCTGATTCTCTCCAACCATCTAGTATCATCAAATCAATATGCACCGTGGTGGCGAGCTACCTAGAATGGTGGCCACATTGTAAACCTGACTGATAGAACTCAGCTTGCACCAAAGAGAGGACTAGACACATCACACTAGTTACTTGTGTCCAATCAAAGCATACATTCTGATTAGTTTCTAAAACTGTAGTTGAGTACATGGTGACTTAGGATTATTCAAAATGATTTCGAACATGTGTTATTCAAATTCCTTAGGAAACTCAAGTTGATGAATTAAATACAACTCCAATCCAAATAGTGAATCAAACCCAGACGCTGTCTCAGGAAGCCTGTCATCCATCGGTTTCTAGTTATGTGCAACCTCATCCCATTGTGTCCGGAAGGGAAATATCAGAGAAAAAAGATGACGACTGGGACAGAAAAGATCAGGAGAAACAAGCACCATGTATCACAAAATCTCCAATCACGAAACCAACTGTATCAGACCGATCAACGTCTGTAGCCAAGTCGATTAAACTAACTCAAATGGAAATAAACAGGGATCGTTCTTCAGATAATGCAGGTAAAGTCATTCTGTTATCTAAAGGTCTATTGATGCCTACAACATTTATTAACAATAAATCGAGTTTACCGTGTTTGAAATTTCAGCAGAGAACAGTAGTGGTTTTTAAAGTAAAACGTGACAAATATAAAAGTAAAGTACTTTATACTGAGATGAACGTTTAGAGAGTTTCACTGACAACAGTTAGATCCATATTTAACAAATCATAACGAAAATCAATTAAAGGAAGCAGGCTGGACTACGAACCAGATTGAGACTGTACTTTTCTTTGTATAGTAATGAGTTGAACGATAACTATTGTTGAATGGTCTTAAAGTTTATTTATAAAATAAAATTTTATCAACATATACTTCTTAACAGTTTTTTCACCTCTGAACTTGGTTCTAAATGATGTATGTCCGAATCACTGTTGCAGACATACCTTAATGGTGCGTTTTAACAGCCATGAAAGCAAAGTGACTCGTAACGCGTAATGACAGTTAACGGCACAAATGTGTATAGAAAATATTTCGCAATACACGCATTGGATCATAGGAATTATTAAAAAGACATTTACACAGAAGAAAATTTTCTTTTCAACGAAGTCATCAACTAAGTTGTACATTCGTTGGAAAGTTAGGTAACAGAACATCTTATGAATTCAAGACATTCAGCTCCATTCGAAAAGTCCTTCAAAGTCATATATACGAGATCTGATCAAATCTGTCAAAAGGAGTGAAATCAAGGCATCTGGGAATAGCCAAGTCCCTAGTGATTACAAAGTTCAAGCCTGCCCTATATATTCAGAAGAAATACATTCAACCGTTGTCCATACCATGGCCAACATAAAATGTCAGTCCTATCAATAATGATTATCCTATTACCTTTCTTATCCAAGCTTTCAGTTTATCTCTGTTATTTTTTACATTTTTTTAATTCCTATTTGGCATTACTAGATTTGTTTTTTATCCTAACTTCATGTCTATTTTGTTATTACTACATCTTTAATCAGTAATTGCACAAACAGTTGTATTTCAGTAATTATGATCTTGCCATCGTTTTCCTACCCGATCTTCCTGATTATTGAACTTTGTAATTTTACTAATTTGACCTTTGACCTAAAAAAGTTTCAGAATAGTACTACTACCCACTTATCTTACTGTTTTTTATCCGATTTTTCTGTTTATTAGGCTTGGTAATTTTATTATTTTAACGTTTGACCAGATGTAGTTCTGGAGCATTCTTACCCATTTACTATATATATGCAAATGCACAGCCTAGTTAATGACTTCGTCGAAAAGAAAAACATTTATTGAAATGTGTGGATGGTGAGAAACAGTGGAATCCAGGATGCGCATTTAGTCCTATTTGGGACTGCTAGTCACCATCCACAAATTAAATTCTAATTAAATGCCCATACACCATCAAAGCATCTGCACAAGAAGCCAACAGACATGTCAACCTGAAACCGAGCACTTCAGTCCAATCAATCGACGGGAAAATCTAAAATTCAATTAAATAATTAACATGACCCGTTGCTCTCGTGGCCCAAATGGTCTAATAGATAACGCTTTGGCGTTTGAAACTATGGTCACTGGGTCCGAGCCTCGGTGGGAATATCATCACTCACTGAGAAATGCAGGTACATCCAACCGATGAGTCCCAAATAGGACGAAATGGGCATCCTGGATTCCAGTGCTAGTCACCATCCACAAATTAAATTTATTAAAATGATTTATTATGATGTAGGGTAAAAGTTATTTTAGCGATAACAGATACGATAAATAAACTTGTTTCTGCATTTAACTGATGAGAATTACCATTTAAGTAGTTAGCTTTTCGATAAATTTTCTTCCAGCTTATAACCAGTCGACTAGAAACCAAATATTAATAATTACCGGATTTAAAGACAGTGAACAAGCAGTAATGCTCTCGCCTCATAACCTTATTTCTGTTTTTTTTTGAAACTTGATCTTAATCGTGGTGATGTTCTGAGAAATTTCTAAATTTCGTGTTTATCCTGGCTAATGTTAGGGGAAAACTAAACTTGAATAGACAGCCAATTCCTATTTCATTTGATTTTTTAGTTAAAAGGTTATTCACTGGTTGGAAACTCACACTAACTATATCTACCTTTACTCACGACACTCAAAGTTGACTCCCACTTCCCCTGGTAGTTATTTTTATAGATTCAAAACAAATTGTTCTCCTCACTTGTGTTATTGTGTAATTCTGTTTAAATGTTTAAACGCTATCTTGCTTTCTTATTCAAAAAGTTAAACTCATTTCGATTAAATATCTATTGATGAAAATAGTTTCCTGTATATAAGTAAATATTAATATAAGAATGATCATAAACAATTTCCTCGGTAACGTTTATCACGTTCCTTCTTTTTCTTCTTCTAATTCTTCTTTTTCCTTTTTTTCTTGTTCTCCTGCCTAAGATAAATCAACTTAAAACGAAACTAATTTCAAAAGTTATCTTTTCTTGTTTTTACATTTACATGCCCCCACCCCTACCTAACTTAAATCGATCGATTTTAACTCTGAGAATAGGTAGTTAATCAATAAATGCTATCTGATCACCTTACATACGAATATACCGACTTGTAGAAAACCCATGTGTATAAATAAAGGATAAAACATGTGGTGAAAAAGTAGAAATATGTGAAATATAAAACAAAAACTCTAAGTTATGCTTGTTGAATACAGCATTTGATTCATGTGTGTGGAGGGATGAAAGAATATACTTCCTCTCGTATTACAGATAATTCAGTAATCTTTTGTACCTAAAAAAAATTTGAGAAACATTTAATGAACGTATATGTTTGGGTAACATTTTATTTTCACATTTACTGGGTTTTCTGTACTCAATCTGACTTTTTCTGATGACTACAATGATTTTTAGACTATAGAGGTTTTGAGGATTGTGAAATGTATCATCTGTTAGATTTCTGTTACAAGCTAACATCAATGGTGAAGGTCGCTGAAAAATTGGGAGCACAGGACATCTGTGCCGTTCTGTTCTGCTACTGTTCATCAGCAAGCACCCACTACCCTCCTAGAGATCAAACTCAAGATTTTCAAATAATAAGACCATGATCGTTGACCATTCAATCACTTCAACTGGAATTCAGGGACCTGTGAGTTCTAACTTTCTCAGTTAGCATTACTCTCACCAGTGCCTTCGGCAAGGACTCACTACACATTGATATAGGGAAACCACTGGTCGCTACTTCTGATTAGAGCTTCAGGGCATCTTTCCAATAGTCATCAATGAACTAGCAACTGATATTAAGACTATGTGTTCAATTATCTCTCCAAAATGATGTTAACTTTTGAAGAAATTTAGCAGTTGAAACCACAGGGTTTCCAATGTATCCAATAACCTCTTGAGCTCAGGAATTATGACTACAACTCCTAACAGTTATGCATATCTACAAATCTCTGGTTTCACTTTGGATTAGATCACTCAGTTTCAAACAAAGAATGAAAATGTCGCTCATTATACTCGCGAGTAGTGTAATTTTCACTCTCCTAGTACATCCGTATTTCCTCCAGTTTACGTCAGCATAAAATTGCTGAGAATGAATTAGAGAAAAAGCTTCATTTCATGTTCAGACTAAGAGGATTTCATATTTTATTTTAAGACTTAGAGTTGTTATCAGTTTTTTCTGACGCCCAATTGTCACTCAGAAACCGAAGGAATAATAATATTTAGAACAACATATTTAAGCGAACAATATTGTTTTCAATTAGATCTCACCAGGCTTAACTCTAATATATATATAAGTTTACAAATAAAAATTCAAATATAAACCAATCATAGTGTTTTGTCTATAGGATAATACGATGGTGAATATAAATTGTGCAATTAGTCATAATAGTGGTAATGATAATAATAATAATAGTAGTACTAATAATAATGGTCTTATCAATAATAAGGATGAAAAAATGAGGCAATCTGTGATAACGCAAATAATGAAAAACAGTATGACTAAACAAACAATTGTTCAGGTGGAAGTAGTCGATAAAGGCTAGTAAAAACAAATGAACCGATTACGTAATGTTAGATTGTAAGGGAAGGAAATGAACAATGAATGTTCACTTCGTCTTCAATAATTCATACTATCGACAAGTAGATGGAATAGCTATGGGTTCACCATTAGGCCCAATATTACCAGACTTCTTTCTCGCAAAACTTGAAAACGGGAAATTGAAGGATACCACCAAGGAGTTGGATATGTATTACCGATATGTCGATGATACATTTATCGTAGCTGATGAGAAGGTTAACATAGACGAATTGTTACTTAAATTCAACAACATCCACCCTTCGCTTACCTTTACTTGTGAAGAGGAGCAGGAGAATAAACTACATTTCCTGGATGTCTTGCTAAGTAGGAGAGAAGATGAGTCACTTGGGAGAAGTGTGTACAGAAAAAGCACATTCACAGGGCAATACACACAATTCCTCAGTTACGTGCCCATTAAATGTAAAAGGAATGTTGTAAAATGTCTCGCGAGCAGAGCAAGGAAGATATGTACGGATGACCTCTTACAAAAGGAATTTGAATATATTCACGATTCCTTGACAGAGATGGGCTATCCGAGTAGTTTCATAAAGAAACATATGAAAACATCAGAGAAAAAACCTGAGACTCTGACTGCACATAAGAAACCTCTATTTATTAAGTTACAATTTAATGGTGACTTATCAAGTGAGATTCTATTCCAAAGACTTTCAAGGAGTATACGTAGGACATTTTACGCAGCACACCTATGTTTGTCATTCTCTAGCCGACGAATGATTGGGACGCAAACGAAGGATAAGCTTGATAGTTTTGCCGCATCTATGTGTACTTATCAATTGGGCGTACTACTAGACAGCTTAGCCAACGTGTTAGTGGACATCTCCCATCGTGGTTTGGCAGAGGACAGACAAAAACAATCCGTAGGTCAATTCTGTCACATTTAATTGATAGTGGTCATGTAGTCGATAAAACGAAAGCCTTCAAAGT